CTTATTCTATCCCTAACCCGTCGGGGCTAATAGTATATCCGAGGAAACTTATTTCCTAAATATAGAACTTATATTTCTTAAGTTTAAGTGTGACTTTTACTTCCCTTAGCTTCTGTAGCACTTTCTAATTATATTTAAGGTATTCTTTCTTAGTTTTAGAGAATACGAGGATATTATCTAGGTATATAATAACGAACTTATCGAGATATTCTTCTAATATAGTAAAGATAAAGCGCTAGAATAATACGGGTACGTTAGTAAGTCCGAAGGGTATAATAATATATTCGTAGTAGCCGAACTTAGTCCTAAATACCGTTTTCTATTCGTCTCTTACTTTAATTCGGAGTCGGTTATATATATTAGTAATATCGTATTTACTAAAATATTTCGCTCCTTAAATAATATCTTATATCTCGCTAATTAGTAGTAGCGGATGTTAGTCTTTAATCGTAATATCGTTAAGTTATTAATAATTAACGTATATCCGAAGTTCCCTTTCTTTCTTAGGTATAAATAGGATTAGGTATCCTACCGATGATTTCGATTTTCTGATATTTCTTTTCTTAAGATTATCCCTAATATATTCTTATAGTATCGCTAACTCTTTCTACGATAGTAGGTAAATTAGTATAAACCTTAGTTCCTCGCCTTCTTTAATTTTAATCTTATAGTCGAACGGACTATATTCTAGTAGTTTACCGTCTAGTAGTAGCGTAAATATATCCTAGAATTCGATATATTCCTCGGGGATCTTATATTCTTCTTCTAGCGCTCCTATAGCGTAAAGGGATATTTCTTTATTATTAATAAGGATATATTCTTTAAGTTCCTTATTAGTTATATTTAGTCGTTATTCGGTTATCGCGATATCCCTAATATCAGTTAATCTCTTATTAGGCCTATCTCCTAGCCGAAAACTCTTTTTAAGTTCTCTTTTATAAGGGTTTTTATAAGTATCTACGTCCTTTTCGCTAGGTCTCTTTAGCGTTTTTCGTATCTTATCTCCGGTCTATATCTCGCTAGTTTATCGATAGTCGTATCTATCGAATAATATACGTCCCTATTACTAATCGATAGCTAGGTTATATTTCCTTAGCTAGGGTACTCCGAGTACTATATTATATTCTCCGAGGCTTATAATATCGAAGTTAATTACCTCGAAGTAGTCTCCGATGATTATTAGTAATAGTCTACTCTTATACGTAATCCCTAGTCCTAGGCTCTCTCTATTAAGTCCGATAATAGGTTAAGGTCGTAGTTTTTCTACGCCTTAGATCTTATAGCGGTATTTATACTATAGGCTTATAAAGTTTCCTATTACTCCTAAATTGAGTATTACTTTAGTTAGTTAAAACGCGATATTAGTAGTGATTTTTATATACGTACCCTACGTAGTAGCTGCGAGGTATTATAGTTCGGTATTTATCCTCCGGTCTCTATACTAGAGTCCTATATATTCCGAACTCTAATTTAGTTTCTTTTCTCGTCGTAGCGGCTTTAGTTCTAGACTATTTTCGACTTTTCCTACTATATATATCGTATATCCTTCGTCGTAGTATCCTATTATAGATCTAAGTCGGTAGTTAGGGTATTACGTATATCCTTAGTATATATAATAGTCTTACTAGTATAGATAGAGTCCGTTCTCGATCTTTACCTTTAACTAGTGTAGTTCGTATAACTAATTAGTAATTTCGAGGGCTTTATTAATTATCTAGTTATTATTTCTTTCTTTATTTTAAAATAAATCTTAGAGTTTATTCTATAGTCGCTTAATATCCGCGATAATATTAGTTTTCTAGGGTTTTTCTTAAGGCTATTTAGTCGTATCTATCCCTAGGAGCTAGGGTAGAGTCTCTAGAATCTCTAGGGTTCTTAGAATCTCGATTAGTATTTTTAGGATCCCTATACCCTACTCCTAGTACTTATTAGATAGTTCCTAGGAGTTAATAGTGTTCCCGGGACTGTACTAGGTCTACCCTTAGCTCTCGATATTTTCCTAGTCTATCTTAGGGAAATTCTCCGTTACGTACTCTACGCTATTTAGGCTACGGTATTTAATATCGTCCGTAAAGGTATCCGTAGTCTTACCCTTCGTAGCGTTCTTTATAACCTTTACTTAGTCGTCGTAGGCGTATTCGGCCTCTTCTAGGTTTAGTTCCTATTCTTTAGGTCCCTTAGTGGCTCGTAGCTATTAGGGTCGGACCTTACTGTCCTAAGTGGCTCTTAGCTATTATAGCTTTATATTATTACGTCCGTTATCTCGCTTACGTACCTATAGCTTTATGTTATTACGTTTATTATACTTATACGCCCGGTATCCTAGTTTCCTATACTCGAAGTATAGGTTATTATCCTTCCGCTGTCTTTCTTCTTCGGTCGGGAGTCTTACTATATTAAGCTCTATTAGTCGTAGTCTGTAGGGGTCGCTATATAACTCCCTCGGCTAGTTTTATCGTTATCCTCGCCTATCTTCGTAGCGGCGGTATTAGTATAGTACCGTCCCTCGGTTACCTCCTAGTCGCTACTCCCGTCGCTAGAGTTTACGTTTATAAAGTCGATTATCGAATTTAACTATAAGTTTAATTATCTTATAAAGTTCTTCTAGTCGGTTAATCCTTATAAGTTTATCCTTGATATCTTCCTTAAGTCTTCGTTTAAAGAGCTAAATATAGGTATCGTCGTCGAAGTTAAGGTACGAAATAATCTATTAGAATTCGGCGGTATATATATTAGCTAATCTAGTCTATTATAGCCGATTAAGTTATCTCTCTGCTATTCTTACGGCATCGATGTTACTAAAGGTTTGTTCTAATTTTTTCTTAAAAGTTTTATAGGATATGAAGATTTCTTTAGTAACGTCTCCCTAATCCCCTAGGGTTTTATCGTTAAATTCCTGGATATAAGGCTTAAACTATTTAAATGCCTATCTACGGAGATAGGTAGAAGCGTAGATTACTCTGTTAGCTTCTGCTATATAATTAATTAGGCGGAGCTATATATCTATTTAAGTTAAGAAAGAACGAAGCTTAGTTTATTTACTATAGTAAAACTTAGGTTTCGGTAGTTTAACCGTAGCCGGCGTACGGGTATTATTTATCTATACGAGCTATTCTTATAACTAGGATATTATCTCTATAAGTTATATATTAGTAGGTGTAGCGTTCGATCTACTTAAAACGTTACTTAAGGTACTATTATTACCTACTATAATAACTATACTCTACGGTTTAAAGATAGGGCGATTAATATATTACGTAGTGCCGACTAGTTACTATAAGTTAGAACGTTTAGGTTATACCTGCCTAGTTCTAACTACGGATTCTAAGAGTATCTCGTAACCGTACTATTACTATACTTAGTCTTACGTCGGGTTCGGGTCCTATTAAGTATCTTATAGAACGTGCTAGAGGTACGCACTAAGTAGGTCAGTCACTAAGTATTACTACGAAGTGAGCTCCCCTATTTATAGGTTAGGTTATCTTAAAGGTAAACTATAAAGTAAAGTACTAAAGATAGTAACTAAGTAATAATGTGTAATTAATCGCGAAGAACTAAATATATAATACTAAACGAGTGTCTTTATATATCTAGTCCTTCGTAATAGTATAAGTAGTAGATGGTAGAGTGGTAGATGAGTCTTAGTACGATCTACCCGTATACTAATCTACCCTTCTACCACTAGAGGTTACGTACAGTTTTACCAGTACCTAGCACTTAGGGCGTAATCTAAGTGCGGGTAAAATGGTAGCCGTTTCCTGCGTTACACTAACCACCTTATTGTGTAAGCAGGTGTTATCCGTAGTAGTTAGCTATAGGCTGTTCCTGGTCCTCTTTCCGGAGTGTCTTGGGGCCTTCCGGGGCATGCCCAAGTATACCGAAACGCACGTGATGACGCTACTCCTTAGCGTCCGTAGATGATTGGTTCACGGTTGCTCCTCAAATAACTGCGGTCCCCGCGCCTTCTTGAGGTCCGTAACAATAGTCAGTTAGTTGGGGGTATAGCGTAGCGTAGATCTTATCAAGATTAATTAGATTGATCTTATAATCATCCTCGGTCCGTGATTGGACTAAATTATTCCATTTCCGCATAAAGTTATCAAATTTAGCTTCTGTTGATTAGTCTGTTGATTGGTCTGTTGATTGATCTGTTGATTGATCTGTTGATTGATCTGTTGATTGGTCTATTGATTGGTCTGTTGATTGGTCTGTTGATTGGTCTGATACTATTAGACGCTTTGCCTTCGCTAGGATAGCTTTATTTATATACCAAATGCATAAGATATGTGGATAATCCTCTCGAATATTTCCAATTGCAGCTAGTAATGCTAGATCACGATCAGTTACTAAGATTGGATGATAATTTAGGGGTAAACTTAGCCAATCAAAATAGGTTTTCAAGACCCACTCATAGCTTATTTGAAGCTCATTACGCATAAAGCATAAAGCAATTGTGAATGTAGTATTAGATGAAGTCATACCAATAATATGACAAAGCGGCATCTTAAAACGGTTAGTCTTATAGGTGCAATCTAATATATAGACCCTATTATAGAGATTAGCTAATTGGATTGCGTAGGGGTGAGCGAATAGAAAGAATTCAATATAGCCATCTTTATCTTGCCTAAATTCGTATTTATATCCTTCCGAATCGAGTAATTCTTGAAGATATTCAAGACTACTCTTTGATCCGATCTCATCTCGTTGAATCTTGCGTCGTTTATTGTATATATCTCGATATATGATTGGTTGGCTTGGTGCTTTCTCGCGTAGGATATTAGCAATATGTTTTGGTTTGATCTGCGAGCGATAAAGAGATCGGACTAAATCATCTTGTTGTGGGGTAAATCGGCGTGTGATTGGATGCCCTATCATATTTAGATCAGCAGGATGATTATGCATACTATTTTTAACCTTTAGTAGCCAATTAGAATCTTTCTGTCGGCTTCCATATACCAAAAATGGACAAGCTTGCCGCCGAGTGCTTGTTTTCCGTCGTTTCATCCCATCTTGGGCGTTTGATTCGTCTGAATATATCCCTGACCTATCACAATGTAGATAGATAGCCCGATCTGCGGTTGAACTCTTGATAGTAGGGGCATATCCCTGCGATATACCAAATTGGCGCACAAAATCGACCAATAGAACGCGAGATGCGAAGGTTTGCTCTGGCGGGGGTAGAAGATTAGATGGTTGACTAGTAGGGTCGTTGGTAATCAGATTGGTAGTAGGGTCGTTAGTGGTCAGATTGGTAGGGTCGTTGGTGATCAGATCGATAGTAGGGCTATCGATAATTAGATTGGTAGGGTCGTTGGTGATCAGATCGATAGTAGGGCTATCGATAATCAGATTGGTAGTAGGGCTGGTGGTAGCCATAGTGGTTTATATGGCCTTTTGATTGGTTGTTTGATTGGTTGTTTGATTGGTTTGTTTGTTTGTATGATTTGTATGGTAAAAAGTGCATAGGATAGCTAGAGAAGAGAGAGAGAGAGAGATAGAGATAGTATAAAAAATAGTGGTTGCTATAGTGATAGTAGATAGATCAGGTGAATTGTATGGGTCAGGTGATATTGATTATGTAAAAGACTATTACATAAGCAAATGTTGTGTGGTGAGTAAAAATTCTGTTGTGCGGGGATCAATTCCCGTGATGCTCAGTGACCGAAAACAATGCTTATATAATACTCAGGGGTGTACTCAGTTTTACTCAGTGAGCAAAAAGCGGCATGGGGTGAGCACTAAAACGGAAAGGGAAAGCCAAGACTTGTCAGACATTATCCTGTCTATATGCATGCCCCTCGGCGCTGCAATGCACGAGGCCGATCGTGCCGGGGGGAATATAAGATTGCATACGCAGCTGTACCCCTCCCTTAATTTCCTTTCTTTCCTTCATTTACGTTCTCTCTCGCTGCCGCGCCTGCAGCCCTTGTTACTACTGTTTTAAGAGCTCTACTTCGTTTCTATTTGGTCCTTCATCATGACCAAACGCCCTAATTTCCTCGTGGTCGTCGCCGATGACCTCGGTTTTTCCGATGTGGGATGTTTTGGCGGCGAGATCCGCACGCCCAACATTGACCAGATTGCAAAGGAGGGCCTGCGGTTTACAGATTTTCATGCTGCGGCAGCATGCTCGTACGTTGGCAAGATCTAGAAATGCAAGGCACATTGCAGCATTACTAACTATTTACCCGCTGTTTAGTCCCACGCGTGCCATGATCATGACTGGCACGGACCACCATATCGCCGGCCTGGGTAACTTAATCGAATGGACCAATATCTCTGGCCAGAATGGTCCAAAGGGCTCGGCGATGAGCACCGCGCCGCAGCGTGGTATGCCCGGCTACGAGGGATATTTGAACGAGCGGGTCGTGGCTCTGCCCGAGCTCCTGCGTGATGCTGGCTATCACACAGTAATGTCGGGCAAATGGCACTTAGGCCTCACCCCGGAGCGGTCTCCTCACAAGCGCGGCTTTGTGCGCTCATTTGCCCACCTGCCTGCCTGTTCCAACCATTACGCCTATGAGCCGCAACTCCGCGATCAGGACCAGATCCCTACTTTCATTGAAGCTAGTTACATCGCTCTGCACATGGAAGACGGCGAATATGTGCGCAAGCTCCCTGAGGACTGGTACTCTTCTGATGGCTACGGAGATAAGATGATCGACTACCTGCGCGAGTGGAAGGAGAGCGGTGGTAGTGCCGGCCCCGATGGTAACGGAGACCGTCCCTTCTTTGGTTACCTTCCCTTCACTGCGCCTCACTGGCCTTTGCAGGCCCCACGGGAGTACATTGACCATTATCGCGGTGTATACGATGAGGGCCCCGAAATTCTGCGCCAGAAGCGGTTGCAGCGCCTGAAGGAGCTCGGCATGATCCGGGACGACGTCGAGCCGCACCCCGTTGATGCAGAGGAAGTCAAGCCTTGGGACGAGTATACTCCCGAGGAGAAGAAGAAGTCTTCGACGGCTATGGAGGTCTTCGCTGGCATGGTTGAGTGCATCGACTACAATGTTGGCAAGGTGGTCGATTATCTGCGGGAGATTGGAGAGCTAGATAATACTTTTGTGTGCTTCATGTCCGACAACGGTGCCGAGGGCGCCGCTTATGAGGCCTATCCCATGGTGAAGAACGGGGTGATGCCCCACCTGCAGAAGTATTACGATAACAGCCTGGAAAACCTGGGAAATGGTAACTCGTTTATCTGGTATGGCCCGCGCTGGGCGCAAGCGGCTACCGCTCCATCTCGTCTCTACAAGGCCTACACCACTGAGGGTGGTGTCCGCGTCCCCTTCACCTGCCGCTTCCCCAAAAATATCCCTCTCAATCCCGGTGACGCTACCGCACCCGCGGGTGGTATCACAGATCAATTCGCCACCGTCATGGACCTGGCGCCCTCCATCCTGGACATGGCCGGTATCAAGCACCCGGCACCCACCTATCAGGGCCGCGAGGTGGTCTCCATGCGCGGCCGCAGCTTCCATCCTTGGGCCATCGGTGATGCCGATCGCATTCACCCGAAGGATTTCATTCAGGGCTGGGAGACCTGCGGCCGAGCCGCGCTGCGCTGCGCCGACTGGAAGATTGTCTTCATTCCCAAGCCCAAGGGTCCTGAGCGCTGGCAGCTGTATAACCTGGAAAAGGACCCCGGCGAGGTAAACGACCTGTCAGAGCAGGAACCCGAGAAGCTCAAGCAACTGCTCAAGCTCTGGGACCAGTACGTGTTAGAGACTGGTGTGGTCCCGCTGTGTCCGGATCTGGGCGAGTTTCTGGAGGCTACAGAGGCGCAGATGCCTGAGAATGCATGGATGGAGTTTGATTACTGGAAGGAAGGTGCGCGCGACGAGCCAGAAAAGTTCACACGCCAGCCGCCCCGTTTCCAGCGGGTTGTGAAGCCGTTCTAGAGGCTGCCTTGGTGTAGGCGGTGGTTCTGCATTTAATGATATGTTGGAGTTACCTTTTTATGATATCATGAGAAAATAGAAAATGAACATTACTCGTCCGCACACCTTCATATTGCTGCTGGGAAGCAGAAGGGTTGTGAGACAATGGGGCATGGCTACAACCTTATCAAGATGCGCCAAAATCTATTATGCACAGATAATTCTATTCAACACGAATGCACCACGGAATATATCCAAAGACCTCGCTAGGGATGAGAACGCCGGAATCATGGTTTCATATATACAGGTAGAGAGTGCCCCAAACTCAGATCATAACGAAAAAGTCCGAGAACAGCTCCCGCCGCACTATTCGCGAGTCCGCCCAGGACCGCGACACATCTTGCCTTCGAGTCATCTCTTCCAATAACAGGAGGACTTTATCGGCTGACGGGTGGCGAGCGGTTGAGGTAGCAGGCTCCATTTCGCGAACTGTTGCCATGCGCTGCATTTCTTGGACAATCCACTGCCGCTGATCGGGGGAGCCTTCGAGGCCTGCGACGAATAGTGGCCATAAAAAGCTGACGGGTAGGTGTCCTGCTGCCGCACCTACAGACTCGACTGTGGCTAGTTGGATTATTTGGTCGACGGCACCGTTAACGCGGTCGGTGCGTGGATAGATAGCAAAGGCCACGCGGTGGAGGTAGATGAAATTGGCTAAGAAATTGGCCACGTATTGCCTGAAGGTGCGGCAGACTTCGAGGGCAACCGGTGCGCAAAGGGTGTCGGTCAAGGCATCTGGATTCCCGTAGACATCGATTACGGGTGGTCGTCGGTGCCACAGGGTCTCGAGATCTGCACCTATTTTGTGTGCAATCTGAAGGACTTCAAATTCGTCGCTGAGAGTACCGCGGCTGCGGTGATGGAGATCGATGCAGACAATGCGCCGTACAACTTGCTGTGCTTTCACGAAGAAGCGGAATGCTGGCCCTACTATTGCTTCGTAAACTAGATAGCTGGGGCTGAGGAGGGGGTCCTCGTTATCGTCCTCCCCTGTGCGCTCCTCGGGCGAAGCTGACGTTCGGGGCTGCTCTAGTTCCTTGTTCACGGGTCCATGCTCGAGTATATTGCCCAACTCAATCAATGGGTCGCCATCACGGCCTGCAATGAGTGATTTGACGTCGAGCAGCGAGACCCATGATACCAGCAAATTGCCCAGTCCTGTCCAAGCTTGAGTGAGGCCTTGGAATCTTTGCAGTAAAAGATATGCGGAATGGAGATATGAGGTGCCTGGAGCACAAAGCTCAGGTGATGAGAAAAGCTATAGCTTGCATGTGAGTCACTCATTCTTCCCTCTAACACCACCGAACATACCTCGGATAACATCAAGAAGAACACCGTCGCAAAGACCTTGACCAACGTCGGTTCCGCTACATCTCCAAGAAGGCACGCCTGGATCTCCGAGCTTGCAACTCGGTAGTAAGTCGGCGCCCAGCGCCATCGCTTCCCTTCCATCACGGCCTGATGAACGTCCGAATAGCAGTACAATGCATTTAGAAGAGGACTAAAGTCCCGCGCATGAGCGAGAATGGACGGCCGCACATACTTCCACTCCATTGTCACCGGTCCAAATAGAGCTGCAGGCGGGTCGATCACCAGGAAGTGGTGGAGGAGTTGCTCCTCGTATGTTGTGCCACCGGGATCAGGCCAGCTGCCACGGGTAGTCGCAGCGTCCGAGGCACTGCCAATCGAAATTCCATCTACCAGCGAGGATGAACCATCTGGGCTTAGCGGAGAGCGCCTCTCGCCCAAAATTTGTCCCTCTTCCGACACATTTCCGGCGATACCTGCCGATGATGACTGCAGGGTTGGACCAGTCGTGAAAGCCGCCAATCCGCTTGTCAAATCAAGATGTTTCCGCTCCAACTCCGACGTGATACCTCCCATGAAGCCAAGCATATCGAATGGGCCTCCCAGTTCCGGCGGGTATGATTCGGGGTCTGTAGGTAGCCGTTGCATCGGCGTTGTAGGCGCGGCGATCGTACGATGTTGTCCATCGGAGCGAAGCACCGTGTTGAAGAAGTTGACATCAGGCGAGCGCTGCGATGCAGCCACAACGACTGAGACAGCCGCCGTCGGCCCCAGCGCCGGCGTTGGTCCGGCTTGCGAAATCCCATGCGCTGCAGCAGTCGCAGCTGGGTCGTTTGTCCGGCGAGACGAGGCTGACCACGGACTGCCGAGGGCAATAGGAGGTTTATAGGCGCAATGCAGACGTAGGCGATCACAATTCGAGCAACTCGGCTTTGTTTCATCGCACCGGACCTTGCGAGCCCTGCATGTCAAGCAGCCTGTCCGGCGTCGAGGACCGGACCTGCCGGCTCCCCGGGCTTTGGGCACCTGTCAGCCGCGCGGTGGTGTTAGCTGTGCCAGTGGGGTGGGGTGCACTCTCAGGGGCACGATCACAATCGCTGTTTACCTCCATATTGGAACAAGCAGTCCCGGGTTTGACGCTAGAAGCATAGTCACCGGTGCCAGTCGAGGGTCAGTTGGCGAAAAAGTATGGTCGGGGCGGTCGTGGCCGACTTCCCCGCAATGGCGCCCGTCCCCGGGTGGTGGTTGCAAAGGTCGATTCGATGACGAGCTCGGGGGTGGAGCGAGTCCAAGACCCGAGGGGATTTTCATACCTTGCACGTCCCCATTTGAAAGAAGGTGAGGATCATGACGAACTAACCCTGGTTGATATGCACGGCGCTCAGACTCCCCACGTGGGGATCAGAGACTTTGCGGTACCTGACCGGCCGCTGGTTTGCAGTGCGGCGGAATGTAGAAGAGACATGGCGATGATCTATGGTGCTCTACATACTCAGTACATTGATACATTTTAGGCTGCAAACTCAACAGCCCGGTAAAGGACCTTATCTCCTCCCAGACACTTCGATCGGTGCAATAGATGACCCCGTTCCTTGCGCACATATGCTGCGAAGCATGCCGCCGCCACGGCGACAGCCCCGGCGCTGATCAGCACCGGGTACTCGAACTGATCTGGGCGGGAAAACACAATCGTCGATGCAAAAGAGAGCATCTCAAAAAAATTCTGCAGCGCCATTTCGGTTGCCGAGAAACGGGCTCGGGCATGTTCCTCGGCGTTCTATGAAGCATGAGAAAATGGGCATCTATAGATAGCAGATAGCGGGAGAGCATAAAGGACGTACCTCTTGTACAAGAAACTGTACTGACAGATCAAAGCCCCACAGTCCAATGCGGCTCAAAGCAACGCCTACAATCAAAATCCCCGCAACGGGTCGGGAAGTCGAGTCCCAAAAGGCGAATGCAACAGCAGCTCCAGCCACGCAGCAGAACTGCCAGTTGAGCAACCACAGCCCAGAGCGGATAGGGCCAATTCGATTCATAATCAGGGGTGCCGTCCATGTACCCGCCAGTTCTGCTGCCACGGAGCCGATACGCATGCAGCTGACTTCTAACGAATTGAAGCCACTGTGCAGCAGATAGGTCACCATGGTAGCCCCAAAGGAGAGAACTGTGAGGTAGAGCAAGCTCAATGCAAAGGACGCCAAGAATACCCGGCTCTGCACATACGCTTGCCAGGGAGCTAGGGTCTCCTGTAGGTAGCGGGACACGCTATGGTATGCACCAGGGGGAGAAGGTCCAGATTCATCGCCCGTGCCATGTTGATGGACAGTGGCTCCCGCTGATGCTCTCTTCAACGCAGGCACTGATCGGTAGACTTGGGCAATGGCCACATATTCGACCACGATAGATACTGTGTTCAGGCCCAGCACAGTCCAAATGGCAATCGGGGTTGAGAAACTGTCGACCAAGGAAATAAATATGGGGGCGATCAGCTTGCAAAAGAGGTCGAGCCGCCTCATTGACGCATTCAAGTCTAGAATCACACAGATTAGCTCATGCAAGCAGTGATTATCTGTCTAGATCTGTCTAGAGCGTCTCACCTTGACGAGGGACATTGATGCTCTCTGCGATGATGATAGCCTAGGTAAATTGAGCAGTCAGACAAACCTTTTATACAATGAGAAAAAACATCCATGCTTCCCACACATACCCAATCACGCTCCACGGCCACTGTATTGGCGGTCGCTGCCAGTTTCTCCAGGCAGGCCAAGAAGCAGACTACGACAAATAAGATGAAAGCCATAGCCGAAGAGTCTGCAGAGTTCAAAAGCACGACGAAGCACAGACACGACGCCGCAACAGGGACTCGTTGCCAGACTATGAGATCGTTAGTCAACCCCCCGGGTCGGAAGCTATTGAAATTTGGAAAATCGAGGCTGCTATTTACCAATTGAGTGTCTCAACGCCACCAAACGATCTGATTTATCGACTCTCGCGCCGATCCAGGATGACAAGGCGACAGCAGAAAATGCTCGAAGAAGCGCGTAAATCGACGCATAGAGCAAAGTCCCGGGGAATATCGAAGCCAGGAACAACACAGCGCCGAACTCAAACATACGAGAATTCCATGCTGAAAGGGTATGCGAGACGTAGAGGCGCGTCAAGACTGCCCGGACCTCGGTGGTTGGGCCACTGGAAGCGTTAGAGGTCCCATTGGCAGCGGTGGGTAGCAGCGCGGCAATGTCGGAGTCGCTTTGTGATATTCGACCGGCCTCTGAGGATATTCGCTCAAGATCCATTTCGCGATGCGGCTTTAGAATATTGCAGCCTCTTCCATCAGTGCAGGGATGCAGTGAGATCTAATAGATGTGCGATGTGCAGGTAGCGGCAAAGCCCTGTGGGGAAAATTGACGGGTGGGCCGACCGAGTACCTTGCACGTCTTCCCCTCAGGGCTATGGTTGCAACACTATTGTGTCCCTCCACATCGAAGTCGAAGATCCTTTCGGAGTCTTGTTCTTCATTACAAACTTACTTGGAACTACTGCCTCTCAGATGAACATGCATATTACCTGGGCTTATAGAATTCTGCGCATGAACCCTGGATATCTCCGTGTCCACTGGCCTCTATGTGGGCGTGGGAAATATAGAATCGGGTTGGTGGCCTACTACTACAAATTAGTCTAACACTAGTCGTTTCACGCAGCTATGAGAGGTTAAAAACCTCACTCTGCTACGCTTTCCAAAATTTCCAAAACATCCTCCTTTTTCAAAGGCACGGGATTAGCAGCGGTGCATGGATCATCCAAGCTATGCACAGCCAAAGCATCAAAGTGGCTTGGACCAACGCCAACAGCCTTGAGCGTACTCGGCATATCCAATGCATTGAACAGACCACGCACAGTCATACTGGCATCCGCTGAATTCCGGTCCAGTCCTCCTTCGCCTGTCAGAATTTGCTCCACCTTAGGATCGCTGCCCCAGATGGCTCGCTTGACTCGGTCCTGCTTCTCAGTCTGATCGCCGTCCAGCGGCGAACGTAGTCGGTTGAAGCGAAGGACGGCAGGTAACAGCACGCAGCTGGTTTGCCCATGACCAACACCTAGAGGCCCAAGCTGATGACCAATCCCATGGCTCGCGCCCACAGAAACGTGCGGAGCTAAGAGCAGGTTGCCTGCAATATCGCCTGCAGCAATCGCACAGTCAAGTCGAGGCTGGAGCTGTGACTGGTCCTTCACTGTGAGCAGAAGATTCTTTGTCAGAGTGGCGAGAGATCTCTCCGCGATCTGGAGCAGTTCTTTCGAGAGCGAGTCGTTTGAGCACAGCGCCTCAACACAATGGTCAATAGCTCGGACGCCAGTTGAGATCCAAACCCACTGCGGCGTCGTGAGTGTCAGACGCGGATCTAGAATGACTAGCCGTGCAAACATCTTGGGATGCTTCATTATGCGTTTGTGCAGGGTAACTGGGTTAGTAGATCCTCCATAGCACGAGAACTCCCCTGCTGAGAGCGTAGTGGGGATGAAGACGATGGGTAGGGTTGGCTCATTGCCCACACTGGTCCTATCGCGCATAGGAGTGCCATCTGCAGCTTTAGCCTGGTAGAGACGATCCAGGTCGTCGACCGTCTGGACGCCGTTGACCACCGCATAGACTATCACCTTCGCCCCATCGGACAGCGACCCTCCACCGAGCGTAACCAACAGATCAGGTTCTGCCTTGCGGATGTCGTTGATGATGGGCACTAAGTCATCCCAGGGCGTGTGAGGGCGAATGCCGGTCCAGGTCTTTGCATGTCGGTCTCCGAGCGCTCGCTCTAGATCTGATACCAGCGATGTCTGCTTGGACAGGCTTGTAGAGGCAATTATATACACGCGCCTTGCTTGGAATGTTTGTTCTGCGTGCTTGGCACAGGACTTGGTGAATGGTAGCCCGTACGAAATGTACATGTCGGGGCAGTTGCTGGCATCGGGGCAGGCCAGCCGGTAGACTTCCTTGCCTTCAGATGCCATGACTTCTACAGTAGTAGCGAATAGTGGCCGTTTTGCTTGTGTAGATTTGAATCCGAAATTGTACAGCTGTTGGCAGCCGAACCCGTGATTGTACTATACACTACCCCGCTTCCCCGCACTGACTCCCTAACCAAGTGATACTTGGTGGATGTCAGATCCTATTTCCCATTACACTATTGTCCACTCGAGAGCAATAGTCGAAGGCAGAAATCATAACTGAAATATACCAAGCCTTTCAATGTCAATAAGTTAGAGCTAAGCAGGGCTCATGGGTAGCATACAGAAAGACGCAGGAAGGTTTCCTGAGGAACCCGTCGATCTAAAACCATGGCTGAAAAAATGGATTCAAACACCGGGGGATAATTTTAATACACAGGATGACAAGCAGCTCGCTATCGAGACCCAAAAAATTACATGTTGTAAACGTCGTCTTCCAACGTTTACTCTACCCACCGCAGACCCTGAGCAGTGCTCTGTGTCCGCCGGGCCAACACCTCAGAGACCTTCTCGCGCACACCTTCCTTGTGATTGTATTGTCCGACAAACTCCTGAATGACCTGGTTCTGGCCCTGGCCATTGCTGCGGACAAACTTCTCAATCTGGGCCTCGGAAGGCAGAGAGAAGCGTGCATGTGGGTAGCGGTTGTAGTCGCCCTCGCTGAGAAGCGGCAGGCGAGTTTCACCCTCAGGGATGGTGAAGAACGCATCAACCATCTCATTGGAGACCTCCGCCAGAGTAGCCGGCTGCCAGTTGGCCTGGCGGGGGGGCTTGGACATGAGACGAGCCTTGACACCCTCGACGAAGTCGGGGTGGCGCATAAAGTTGGCGGCAATCTCGTACTCGCGCTGGAAGGTCTCGGTGATGCTCCACTTCTTGCCGAGACGCAGCTGGCGAAGGGTCACCTTGAGGGAAGTCGGGGAGCGAATAGACAAAGTCTCCAGAGTCTTCTGGGCCCACTCCTTGTGCTCGGTCTCGCTCTCCAGCGCTTGGAAAATTTCCTCAACGGTGTTGAACTTAAAGCAGCGGTCAATGGCGGAGCGGAGTCCACCAGCCAGAAGGATGGGTTCCTCCTGAAGAGAGGGAAGGCCAAGCGAGAACTCAGCCATGGTCTTGTTCACGATGTTCAGCCGCTCGGGCAGACTGACATTGTCGGGGAAGACAAGCTCCGCCAGGCGCTGGGTCATGTTGCTAAGAACACTGGAGTGTAGGTAGTGGGTAGCGATACCAGAGTACAGAGCCTGCACACCGTTCAGGCGCTCCGAAGTGAGGGCCAGGTAGGTACCGGTCTCGCCGTCCAGGCGCGGGAGGAAGAAGGAGCCGCCCACGTCAGGGAAGAAACCGATTGTAGTCTCGGGCATAGCGAAAACAGTTTTCTCGGTCGCAATGCGGAAAGGAGCATGCATGCTGAGGCCAACACCGCCGCCCATGGTAATTCCGTCCATGAAAGAGATAACAGGCTTCGAGTATGTAGCGATCGTATGGTCGAGACGGTATTCGAGTCCGAAAAAATCTGTCGATTGGCGCTGTCCCTCTAGTCCCTTCTCGTTCTGCAGTGCCAGAGCGGCCACGTCGCCTCCTGCACAGAGCGCCTTCTCTCCTGCTCCCGAGATGAGGATAATGTTTGCGAGATGAGACTTTTCCCATTCCTGTTTCGCGCACACAGCTTAGCACTCTACCATATCCGCACTGTATAAAGAAACCGACTAACCTTTAGCCGAGGGAAGATCTTGCGTGCCATCGAGCCATTGAGGGAGTTGAGCTTCTTGGGCCGGTTGAGTTCAATACTGCGAAGGCCGTAGATGGAGTTGAACAGAACGTCATCGGGCTCATCGCCCGGGAGCTCTTTGGGGATTTCAGGGGCGGTCGACATCTAAGCCGCAGTCAGCGTCATCGTATAGCTCCCCATTTCTGTCGCGAACGAGTCCTCTTACCGAAGCAGATGCGCGGAAGGCAGGGTTCGTTACCTTGGCGCGCAAAGGCATTGCTGGCGAGGAGCACCGCGAGATCCAGCTCGGCGGCGAAGGTAACCGGGAAAACGAGTGCCTAAGCAACATGAAGGACCAGACACGAAGGTGGAAAGGACGAAGGTGAAGGAAAACGAAGGGAGAGGGTGGGCTAGAAGGACAATCAGATGTTCTCCGCTTTGCCGTTGACCTCGGGAGTTTTTTTGGGCTGGATTTTCTTCCGCTCCGAGGACCGCCTCAACCCGCGATGAGATCAACAACCCCCTCAATCGAACCCCCATCCTTACGTAAAGGGCCGGTTTACAGGTCCAAGGTGGCTATGCTCGGTTGAGAATACTACGGTGTACTGGGTTTAAGTAATTACTTTTACTTCGCTTGGACGTCTTCCACATTGTGGCTTACTTGGCGTATGTAGACATATAGACTAGGTAGTTGTCAAAGCAAGCTAATATTGAGGCTATCCAATCAGCTCAAGCGGATTCAATATTGGAATGAATTGATTTGAATGACTAGCTAAACGATGGGAAGAGCGCTGTTAAAATAGCTCTCTGCATACATTGCAAACACAGCCAGTAAGACAGCTGTCAGACAGCTGTCTTACTACCAACACAGCTTCCGTTGGAAGCGTAGCTGCGTATTGGATGCGCAGCTGCTTGGCTGTTATAACCCGTCGGTTGCTGTCAATACTTTTCCTTACATATGAAACGGTAAACGAGTGTGGTTACACCAGCAACGGATCGGTTGCTGGCAGTAAGTTGGGCGGTCGCATCCGTAGTCACATCCTTGACACACCCCCTCAGCGATATCATCATGATGAAATCGCTGCATCAAGATCTCCAAGACCTTCAGCGGTCAGTTTCACCCTCCAAGAGACGTCCAATATCCTCCATACCCAATTGGCTGACGAATTCAGCGTGCTTTTGGCGAGGTAATAGCTTCGTCAGACCGTCCGCCACCATATCCGTTGTCTTTACCCACTGCACGGGGATACGCCCAGCCTGGACCTCCTGACGAAGCCAGTGCTGGTGTATGTCGATATGTCGGAGCTTCGTGCGCAGTTGAGGTGCTTCGCCGGTCAATAGATTGATGGTCTGCTGGTTATCGCATCGGAGGACGACGGGGTGACCAGGATCGAATACAATAGCTGCGAATAGTCTTTTCCACATACACAGAGACTTGCCAGCATCAGATATTGCTAGCAGTTCAGCCTCGGTGGTGCTGGTCGTGATAGTGCGCTGCTTCGTAGCCTTCTAGTCTACTGGTCCTCCGAATATCTTGCAGATGTAGCCAGACGAACTCCTCCGGTCGTGGTTATCCCCGTATGACGCGTCGCTGAAGAACTGGACGGCGGTGAGATCGGATTCGGTGAGTCTTCGGTAACAGATCGCCCTCGTGCGGGTGCTGTTGAGGTAAGAGATGATCTGGTTGATTGCCGTGAGGTGTTCGGTTGATGGATTCGACAGGAACTGGGCGAGATGTGACGTCGCCTTCGCTGCGTCCGGTCGGGTAATCGTTGTGGTATACTGCGCTGAGCCTACCTTGGCTGAGAACTCATGCTTTCTCTCATTAGTAGCCACACTAGTATAAGGTCGTAGATTAGCGATGGAAACAGGAGGGACCTCTAGGCGTCGTTCGTTCGTTAGATGATATTTGTGGGCTATGGCGGAGATGTAGGTATCTTGGCATAGCTATATCTTGCCTTGAGAGCGATCTCTCACGATGCGAATTCCCAAAAACCACTGCGCTTCGCCTATAGAGCGAAGCTCCCAGGCCTCACTGAGTCTCTTGGCGACATTCTCTGCTTCTTGACGTATGGAAGGGTGGTTGAAAATGAGGATATCGTTAACGTAGAAGATGATGATAATACCGTTTACAGTGAATAGACAGACGTCTTTGTTGACGACCTGGAAGCCCAGCGTTTTGAGGACTCTCGTAGCCTCTTTCTGCCAGAGTTTTGGTGATTTCCTTAATCCGTATAGCGCTCTCATGAGCTTCCAGCACGTTATCCGTCGTCCGGGCGGGAAAAGGCTAGGGGTAGTTCCACATACACTTCCTCATCCATCTTGCTGTTGAGGAAGGCGTTAACAGCGTCGTACTGAGCGGTGTCGAGATCGAACGCGGCGGTGAGGGCGAAGATGGCTCTAGCTGTTCGAACAGCTAGTGTCGCTGAATATTTCTCTTCCGTTGACATCTTCTGAAGATCTCCTCTAACACACAGCCTCGCTTTGTATTTAATCAAGAACCCGTCACTGTCAAATTTGTAGGTGAACACCCAGGTCAAAGGCAAGACCTGAATACCTCTGTCGGTTAGTCGGTTAACCTCTTCGTACGTCCCCTTTTTATCCAGTGCTTTGACTTCGACTGACGCTGCTTGAACGAAGCCATCACGGTATAGGTGACGCAGCATGTCGGACCAGTGCTTCGGCTCTGGGGGAAGGTCGTCACGGTAAGGGCGCTGGTAGGACTGTGGCGAGCTCATTTCTGTGGAAAATGCTAACAAAATGCCTTCATGATAGTCCTCGCTGTCTCTCACCGGTGTATCGTCTTCGGTCGATGCAAAATACGCACTTCTGCGGGTGCGCTTGCCTTCGATGATGTTGTCGGTGGAAAACGATGCATTAATATCTCTTAGGGCTAGAGATCCGTATGCACGGTATCCTTCGGGCGGTGGATCTAACGCGTACGAGGTCTCTGGCGGTGTTTCTGTCGTTTCCGGTAACGTTTCTGTTGCTGTCGGCGCTGATACCCTGAGCTCAGCGAGAAGCTACTCATTCGGCTCAGTCTGTTCCACCCCCTCAGCTTCGAGATGCGGGGGGTTCGGTAGTGTTAAGAGTGGCAGCTCTAGCGGAAAGCTTCCTAGCACCGCTGATGTCCTCTCTGACACAGCCGTCGGAGTTAACTAGCGGGAGGGCGTCGGCGACGGTGTCAACATCGTTAGAACCAGGGAATTTGATGCGGATTCTTTCTCGGAGCTCTGCTCTCCTTTCCTCCGTTTTTCTTGTCTGCCTAGTGTTATAAGGGTCATTTCAAGGCCCTCATCGTCGGTGACAGGCATGTCTTCGGTATTCTCTCCCACCGTCCATGGCAGCGTTTCCAGTACGTCTGCTAGTAGTAAGTTCTGTTCTTCTGTCGGACTGTATCGGACGTTTTCATCAAAGATGACATCTCTGACTGATCTGACAGTGTCATGCTGTAGAAACCACACTCTCCAGATATTGGAAGCAGTGTATCCGACCAGATATCCGATCTCTGCGCGCGGCGCCATCTTATCTTTCCGAGGAAGCTTCTGGATGCGCACGTACGCTCTGCAACCATACACCCTGAGATTGGACAGGTTGAGGCGCAGTTCATTCTATTAGTGGTGAGGCTTTCGAATAGCCTCAAGCCACGGGATGATCTCTTGACCATTAGGTAGTGTCGTTGGCATCCTGTTGATCAAATAAGCTACCGTATTCATTGCCTCTGGCCAAAGATCCTTTGGTAAGCCGGAATCAATAATAAGGGCTCTGGCGACGATGATAATAACACCACCAGCCCTCTCGATGAATCCGTTCTGTTCAGGGGTTCTAACGACGCTGAATTCCATGATAATACCCTCGTCTTCACAATATTGGCGGATGGCATAGCCCATGGTCTGTTCGTTATCGCTTTTGAACACTCTGAGGCCCATACCGAATTATGTTCGACAGATGGCAGTGAAGTTCTTGATGGCAGGGACGCAACCACTCTTTAGCTCATATATCTGGATCATATGAAGCCGAATACCTTCAAGAAGAAAGTGAGACATCCAGTTGTGACCGTTGCGAGCTTTGTCTAACTGTACGAGGTCAAAATGAAGCCTTCCGAACTTACCAAAGGTGCGTGATCTCTCTGCTAGTCGCCGGGATATCTGTTTCTTTGCCTTCGCTAACTAACAGACTTCACATCTCTCAGGGTTACACATAGCGTTATCCACGAATTCTCCCTTAATCACCATGCCGTCAACCATCTTCGCTAGGCTGTCAACACGTTTGGGATAGATGTAGCCGAGTCTGCGGTGCCAAATCTGCGGTGAGGCGACTGATACCACTGGTTTGGAGGATATTTTGACTGTCGGAAAGGCGAGCGGAGGTCCTGTCACTATCGGAACGCGCTGATCACCCTGGTAATACTCCAGGAGATACAGACCGAATTTTCTACCACACATAGCCACGGGCTGATCGTTCCGAACGATAGCAGGGTAACGGCTATTAAAAAAGAAGCCCAACTTGCCTATCTCGGACACAGACAGGATATTGGTTTGGAATCCAGGGATATACCACACATTCGGTAAGTAAGCCCACAAGATCTTGCCCGTCGGGTCTTCAACCATGACTTTGGCTGTTCCTCTCCCATAAGCGGCAATCTTACCACTTCCCAGTGTAACCATTCGCTTTTCCTCTACCATACCTCCCTCGAAGCGATCGATACGGTTGCAGATATGTATATTAGCGCCCGAGTCGATAATCCAGCTGTTTTTGAGAGGCAGGGACACCGCGGCGTTACACACGGCCGGGGTAATATCGAATGTGAAGGAACAATAGGGGTTATCGGCAGGGAGGAATTCCATGGTTTCTGTCTTCATTTCGTCGAAACCGTCGGTGATAGCTAGCTAAGCTGTCTGACCGGGCTTTTAAGCGGTTGATGAGGCTTCAGGTCTCATCAGCTTAGCAATTTCCTGCTGTTCAGCGAGGCTTAGCTTCTTAATACCGGCTTCGACCTTCTTACGAGAGGCCTCATATTACTACCATCCCTAAGGGCGTTTAGACACATTAACGTAGAAGCAGTCCTTCCAGGTATATCTTAGACTTCCGCACACACAACGAGGCTTCTGTTGATTCTGCTGACTCGGCTATTAATATCCGTATAGCGTCGCTGCGAAGGCCACGGCGTTAGAGACGTTCTTTTTAGCTTGATCATGAACGGTTCTCCACGTCCGATATTCCGAAACAACGTCCTGGAACTTCAGTTCGTCCTTGCTCTCCAGTTTAGCCCTATATTAGTCGACGAAGTTACCGTCACCAAGAGGGATAGAGTGCAGGAAGTCTCTAATAGCGAATTCATCTCCCTTGTGCTCTTTAACGCACGAACACCGCCATACATCGGGCACCTTGGCTGCATACGCTTCGTCGTATAGCCTCGACCAGTCGTTTAGCCATTTTGTCATTGAAACGGAGGCCTTACTAAATAAGGTCATTGTCTGCAGCTTCCAGGCTATCCGAAGGTCTTACACGCGGGTGGCACCCTTCGGCTTGAACTCCTGGGCCAATTTGACTAGCTTCTCTCTAGCAGTCTTCTTATCGGCCAGCAAGCTTTGTTTCTCTGGGTAAGTCATCATGAAGATGTGGTTATTCATGTCCGCTAAGCTCTTCTGGATACTGAAGCAGAACGCTCTTTCCTCTTTGAACATCTGAACGAGACGACTGTATCGGGTATAATCTGCATCGTCTAGCAGCATCGGGTTGGTGACACCCATTTTGACCTCTTCCGGTCGTGGGAAGGTGTCTCTCGGTTCCGACGGAGGCTTTGGAACTTCCTCATCGGTCTTATCAGGGTCGATATACCCCCAGACCTTCAGGGCGGTCGCTGCGGATTCGATATGGCTGATCCACACACGCCATTAGGCCTCGCTACGGAGACGCTGATCGTAAGGGTCTCCAGTAGACGCTTGAGCCATCTGAGAAGACAGCATATTTACACACAATCAGACTGACTGAGGGCAGGGGCTTTTGGATGAGCTGATGAGCTGATCTGATCGGTCGGACGCGGTCGTTGACGGAAAGATCCAGGCAGATGGTGCGTGTCTTTCTTGATGATGATGTCAACGGGCAGTCGGGCTCATAACTGTCAAAGCAAGCTAATATTGAGGCTATCCAATCAGCTCAAGCGGATTCAATATTGGAATGAATTAATTTGAATGACTAGCTAAACGATGGGAAGAGCGCTGTTAAAATAGCTCTCTGCATACATTGCAAACACAGCCAGTAAGACAGCTGTCAGACAGCTGTCTTACTACCAACACAGCTTCCGTTGGAAGCGTAGCTGCGTATTGGATGCGCAGCTGCTTGGCTGTTATAACCCGTCGGTTGCTGTCAATACTTTTCCTTACATATGAAACGGTAAACGAGTGTGGTTACACCAGCAACGGATCGGTTGCTGGCAGTAAGTTGGGCGGTCGCATCCGTAGTCACATCCTTGACAGTAGTTAGGTATATGGGACCAATTGAAAGGTAGTAGATCATGTCCTATTTGTACAGATGGCCAGAATACAGATAAATGAAGAAAGAGATCCCAATGCACACACGCCATAATCCTCAGCAGCGCTTACAGGTATCGTGCGCTGGCAGGCTTGCTGTCCAGATCCCGCGAGTGCGTTTTGAGGATCCGATCCAGGGCCTTCTTCTCGATAATCAACCTCGCGGTCTCCAGCAAATTCTTCACATCGACATCACTGCGGTCCATGATGGTCGCATATCGGTTCATCTTCTCTACCTTGTCAAACAGCTCCTCGTCCACCTTCTCCGTAATCAATGTCGACCGACCCTTCTTCGTATTCCATCCATTGCTGTTGAGGATGTTCTCGATGAGGTACGGCGTAGAGTCCCGAGGAATCGAAATCTTGTCGTCGATCACAATCAGCTCTCCGCGCTGGAACCGGTAACTCAGGGCAATGCGCCAGGCTTGGTCGTAGAGCTTCGCGGGCAAGCCGGTCGAGAAGTCGCGGGGGTGGGGACCGTGGGCAACACCACCGCCCTTGCGGATTGGCGATTGCTTGTCACCAACACGGGCACGACCGGAGCCCTTTTGCGGCAGCACCTTCCTGTGGCTTCCGTGCACATCGTCCCTCCATTTCGTGCTGGCTGTGCCTTGCCGGGTCATATCACCCTCGTATACGATTGCACGGTGCAGGATGTCTTTCCGAATGGGCATTTGTAGTTGTTTCTGGGTGTAGTTCACTAATTGAACAGGCTCCATGGAAGGGAAGGCGTAGGTCATGACATTGACGGGGCGGTCCCATGGTGCGAGCTGCGAGGATCTCGGGGTATCGGCAGCGGTCGAAGTACTGGCCTGAGACTCTGTGGCCATCGATCGTGCAAAGCATCGTCGCTGTCACCGAAAAAAAGTCAGTCATTATGTCCACCTAACGAGTTCTTCGCGAACCCGAAGATGGTAAAAAATGGACCATACTGTCACATTCTCGGGCCCCAAAAGAAGGCCACTTGAGCTGCGCGACAGCAGCCGCAGCGCCCGGAGAGTTTCACTACCAGGCATAGTGAACAATCAACAGCAGAGGGTGGGTCGCGTGAGTTGATGATGTGCGACGTCTGGAATGGGAAGAGCAAAAGTTGACTCCGGGGAGGCCAGGCGGTGGGCGCTAGCAAAAGTCTTGGCTCCGAGCAGAAAAAGTTCCCCCGAGGACAACAACACCATCAACCTCCAACGTCCAACCCCAACACCATCACGGGAATATCTCACAATGGCTCATTGCGAGCGGGCATCGAAGCCGCTACTCCAATGCATTCGCAAAACCTACGCTAGGAGCCTCCCTTCCGTCCAGGCGCGCGGCTTCCAGTCGTCGGCTGCCGTTGCAGAGGCTCAAGCCGAACAGAGCCAACCATTCCACAAGAACCCTGACCCATCGCTTGTCACCAGCCCCCGCCTGGAGCGACAATTGATGCGACAGGGCACCAACCCCATTGGCTCTCGTCGTCGCCGTGCTGCGCTGCAGGGTTCCGCGAATATTCCCTTCGAACAACTGCCCTACCAATGTTTCCAGGAGGCGCGAAAGGTCCTGCTGGAGGACCGTACCGAGAAGCTGAAAGAGATCGAATCAATGAGGCAAAAAATTGCGAAGGTGGAGGCTCAACCTGTTGAAGAGGCTGGAGGCGAGCAGGCACAAAAGTCTCGCGTGCGCGCCATGCAATTGCACTTGGAGCGCCTCAAGATCCATGCCGACATTAATGACCCCCTAGTCAAGCGGAAATTCGAGGACGGACTCGGTATGATCTGATCCCTCTTGGAGAGTATGTGAGATGATTCTATGCTAATTCTTTATCTCTTTCGATAGGCGACATGAGCAAGCCCATCTACCGCTATCTGGCCGACCGGAAATGGCGGGAATACCGCCGCAAGATTCTGGTGCAGCGCATCACGCAGATGAACGTTGTTCCCGATGTCCTGCCTCACTGCGATCCGATTGTGGATACCAAGCTGTACTTCAACAAGCGACAGGTCCAGCCCGGAGATTTTGTCGACGCAAAGGTCAGCTCAGAGGCGCCTAAGCTTGACATCCAACTGTTCGAGCGGGGAGAGAAGCTGGTCACTATTGCCGTTGTCGACCCCGATGTTCCTAATGTGGAGGCGGATAGCTTCGACTTCCGGATGCATTACCTGGCTGTCAACGTGCCCATCTCGGCCATCAACACTAAGGTCGACCTCTCCCAGCTTGCAGCAGACTCTCAAGTCGTTCTTCCCTGGCTGCCACCCGTCGCCCAGAAGGGCAGCCCCTACCACCGCCTCTCTGTCTTCATCATGGAGCAGAAGGATTCACAGCCCCTTGACTTTGCCGCTGTCAAGGCGAAGGAGACTGACCGGGACAACACGCTGCTGCGTACTCTGCAGGCCCGGTACCACCTCAAGGCCATCGGTGCCCACCTGTTCCGCAGCCAGTGGGACGACACTACTCTGGAGGTCATGAACCAGATCGGATACAGCGGAGCCGATGTCGAGCTCCGTCGGAAAAAGGTCGACCCTCTTCCTTACAAGCGGAGAAACCCCTCCACTTTCAGGTGAACACTTCGTTTTCCATCTCCTCCCTCCCCCTCCATCGCCTGTCCACCCATTGTTTAAGTATAGAATTTGTATTGTACAATTGAATATGTATGAATATGCACAGCAATTCCACTTTCCGTTTCAAGTCACCAAACTCCTTTGTAGATGCATATCGAAATACTTTTTTTGCAACATCCTCCACGACGCGTCTAGTCCAGCTGCGCAGGTTGCATGGTATTGCGCACCCACTCCATCTTGGATGGTGGCCAGACTCGCGCGACGATTTTCCCGTTGATCAGGCCCAATGGCACGGGTCCGAAGTTTCTCGAGTCTCTCGACCAAGGAAGGTTATCGCCAACGAGAAATACATGGCCTTCGGGGACCTATAGCGTAGACGACGAGTTAGGTACCAAGTCCCATTCCGCAAACCACAGCTTCGAGTTCGAACACACCTGGATCATGTCCGACTGCTTCCCTGCCCCCGTACTGTACGGCGGGTCCCGGCAGACAAAATCCCCGGGCATCCCAAGCACCCGCTTCGCGCTATGCATACCGAGGAAATTGGGATGATTGAATCGTACGATGTCGCCGACCTGGATGTCCTTGCCGTTTGCATGCCGTCGTGAAATGAGGAGCCAATCGCCCCGCGGATTGAAGGTCGGATACATCGACGGTCCCTCGCTGGATTGTATGGTTATAAGGTGCTCCCACACCAGGGTGCAAGCGCAGAAGACACCTGCGCCATTGAGGGCTAACCGGCCGACTGCGCCTGGGCTGACTCGCAGCGCTGATCGGAGGAGGCGTTCCATGTGTTGCACGGCAAGTGCATGCCCTGTATATCTGCGAAGAGAGCTTGTTCACGTTCGACGGGGATTGCGGAGAGTCATGTGACCCGCGGGTTTAAAAATCAATTTTCCGGCCTCAGCTCTTTCTCTTCTCCCGAACTTCAGTCGCACTTCGACGTCCAAGTCAGCAGGGCCCTCTGCGCTAGACACAAGAAAAGCAATTGCACATGGCGTTGCCAATGCTTCCGCCATGATCATTCTGATCAGCTCGACCGCCCATTGATGCATGGGCACATGGTCGAGCGGCGCCAGCAGTCTTGTATGTCCTGAATTGCAAGAGCACCTCCTTGATGCTGGAGGATGCAATGCAAATACAACATCAACATCCATATCCCCGTTGTCAAACGACATTGCTCTATCATATATTCCCCTGAGCCCCTCTCCGTCGGGAGAACCGCTTCTACAAAAGCTAGAGCTTGCCGTCGTCGATTCATCACCAGGACGAGCAAGTGTAGACAACGAAGCAAGATGAACACAACCAACCTTGTCGGATGACAAGGTTGTCCCCCAGTTGGCCTCAATCTCGACCTCATTTAACTATGGGACTGGGTCTTTGAGGCTGGCGTAGTGGGGAGACACTGCCATCCTATTCTAGATATACGAGTATCCATCAATTCAATTGAACCCCACGAGTTACCTATTGAGTCTCGTTCAATTTTCATTCAAATACTCTTTTTTTACTGCGTCTCTAATTGCGATCCGGATGTCTTATTGGAATGTTTCCCTTAGGCCAGCAGTGTATCCGGAAAGAGCAGTATTTTTTGTATCATTTTTTTACGCGAACATGATGCTCCTATTGACTCTTGAAGTCGGCCTTCCACATTGCATCGGCATCTGTTGACAATCATCCAATCAGCTCTATTCGACCGTTGAAGACACGGAAGTCCCTTTACCTGAATGCTTCTCCACAGCCTCGATATTCTCTCGCTTCTTCGCCTTCTCCCGATAATTGACCCCAAACCTCTCGTCTCGGCCCTGGAGCAGCCCGTCCAGCCCACCTGGGTGCGCTGCCTTCACGCTCTCCGGCGAGGTGAAGCTCCCCATCAACTGCGGAGGGCCCATAGGCACCGGGTCCCCACGGTCAACCTGCCACATATGATACGTCTTACCATATATCGGGGCAATATCTTGCATCTCCGCCGTCTCGGCTGCTTCCCACGCTGCGGTGGGCACGGCCTTCGGCGTAGGCATGATGAGCAAGCCGCTCTTGACCTCGAACTCATGTGTGTGCCATAATCTGCGCTCGGCGGGTGGGAGTGTAGCGAAAATTCGTGGTGACACCATGTACTCGACGCCGAGGAGGCGCGCGTTGGGCCCGGGCGAATCGTAAATCAGACATTGACGGACATCTGGGTTGAATGGTCAACGGATTGCTTTACGTGATTGACACCTGTGGTCAGGTTGCGCTTTGATATATAGCTACTTACCCTCCGTCAGGTGCGTACAATAATGGTTTGCCTCGACGCATCGTGTGGGATCGTTGGCGTAGACGTGGAAGGCATTCAGGTGCGCGCAGATCTGTTTAATGGGCGTGAAGTCTTGTGTCATTGCCGCGCCGGTTTCGAGAACGCGACTCTTGGTCGAGCGAGCATCTCCTGGGACGCCGCTGAGCTCAGAGTCAGAGCTGACGCACGAGGTCATTTTGACGGTTGTTTTCTGGGGTATAGAATCGACTCTGTTGATGGTGTGATTAGAACTTGCCGTTTGCGAAATCAAATCTTATTCAAGACCAGTGCTCAAGTTCCCTGCGAAGATGATTTCTCAAGGTAGAGATGACGTGAAACGGAGATCTGCCTCGAATTCACCCAGTTTGACGTCTTCATCTTGCTGGGCCTGAATTCTTGGATGATGATGTCACGATGATTGCAGATTCCCCTTTTGGGTGTTCTATGCAACCACTAAGTTGAAAAAAAGAAACACAAAACATTTGTGATGCTTGTCATATTGCAGTGCCTTGTCAGATAGCCTTGGTCGTGTTCGAGGATGACTTGTGGTCTGCTCTGTCTTTCGCTGATGAAGTGTCTTGCAACACCATTCAATGGGTTTATCAGCCGAGGCTTCATACCAGTTTCAAGCCACTTGTTCTGGCACCAGACATGTATGTTTTATACATTCATTTGCCATATTGACCCAGGAGGTACAAAGTACTCTCATATGAAGCGAGCCGAGGGCTTGGTCATGGCTGGCGCTATGAGACAGAAAAATGTTATTTTGGGCCATTGCAATAATTTCCATCGAGTCAAGAGCATACAGGGCCTTTCATGGATAAATGGAAACCAGAACGGATTTTATAGACATTGTTTGGAATTTACAACTTGACCTACAGTATCACACGACTGACAGCGATTACTATTCGTGGCTTTAGATAGATGTATTTTTCCAGGCAATTCATGCGACATCCCTTGCCCGCTTGCTGCAGGTTGATATCAACCCGTGCTGATCACCAGATCCAGGGAAAATAAAAGCCTGCGAAAACAGGTGGCCGCCACAGAACTAGGTACTGTGATTTCTCTGGCATCGTGCATAATGTATGTATGTATGTACCGTAGCAGCCCAAGCAACGGAACATAAAACTCGGCCGATCATCTCTGCCGCGAAAATCTCGAACGGCGCTACTCCGCGATCAGACTTTTGCTACACCGTAAGACCAAGACTCCAAAAAAAACTTTCGATAAATCCCGAGCCTCGCATTCAACTCCAACTCCTCGGAACGAGAACGGAGAACCAAGCCCAGCCCGACAGCGGGGCTTCAGCAGCGGCAATTGGGACGGTGCTACAGTAGAAGGGCATGGCGCACATGACCCAGTGATCGGCCGATAAAGCCTACACCAGAACACCACTATTTACCCGAAGTGGCCGATCTCGCACCAGATGAGACTAAACCGCGCTATGCACGGCACTAACTACCGCAGAGGCATCCGCCTACGGGGCAAGGCCGAAACGCATTGCAGGAGGGCCGCGAGAGGCGCAGGAGGGGGGCTTCTTTCGAAGAATTGGCGGAGGCTACTGCGTCAAGGAGGAAGGAAAAAGTCAACCTGGAGCCTCCACTTTGCGATGTAGAAGTAGAAGATTGTCAAGTCGCGCGCACAGCCTTTAGTTTTTGCGAAAAAGCAAAACGGCGAACTCTTTTTTTCATTTTTTTTTAATTTATTTTTTAAGTTCGCAGTACGACTCCATCGAGTGGCCCAAAGCCACTAAACTATGCAAGTGCGCAGTTCAAGGACGTATGTGCTCATCACGGTCGGGAAACTGGCACTGGCACGAGGACCTCTCCCCCTCGACTCCATTCTCGCCGGCTATGGAGGGGGAAGACCATCGGTACGCAAGTCCATGGCACTCCTTGTCGTAGTCCATTCCGGAAGGGATGGGCAGTGGCTGTGGAGCCCGAGAGCGGGCGACTCGGGAGTGTGTTTCCACAGCGTGTTGAAGAGTTGACGATCGTTTTCGCTTTTTTTTTTTTTTTATTTTTATTTTTTTAATCTCTTTCTTGGCCATGGCGGGCTCGAAGGGGCGCTGGTGCTGGATTCTGTAGGAGTATATCTCTGTCCGGGCCATTCAGACCAAACCACGGGTTGGTCAGGACAGGGTTTGTTTGGCGGTGGCGGTGTTCGGATGAGAGGTGTGTCCGGGTAGATCCACGGAATATGACGGTTTGTGCCGGACCCTGTGCTACGGGGCGTACGTACGTCTCCCATCTGGTTCTAATCCTGGACCGGTGGGACCTCGATTCGGTTCCGTCGGCTTAGAGTGCGGCGTGAGGTGTAAGGTGGAAGGTGGAAGGTGGAAGGTGTAACATGGTGTCGCGGTAAAGACTAACCTCAGCCTGATCATGCTCTAGGCATCTAGGGTGTTTCGTCGCTCTGCTGACGATGGTATTGGCATGTCCAGCATCTGCGAGTCGGACCAAGCATTGGAAGACCCTGCCATCCCCCCCCGCATAGCCGGCTGACACCATGCCTACGCCCCTATCTTCCAGTACTTAGCTGTAAAATACTGCGGATATTACCGAGTCCGGTAGAGTGGAGGTGCACTGTTTGGCGTATTCGGAGTACAGCTGGGCAAATCTGGATTGAAATGTCAGATGTAGTGTTCCCAGCTTTTTATTTATTCTCTTCGTTGAGTCCGTGTATCTTGCAGAGGGGATGGCCGGGTCTAGACGACCACGTCAGACGCCGAGAGAGATAACCTCATTGGTCAATAACTCGGTGAGTTCGCTCAGCGCCAGCATGAGCAAGGTCTGGAACATGCGGCTATCAACTCAACATGCAGGATTTGCTTTTATTTATGTGCAATCGGTTCTCGACTCGAAACACGATTTCATCATACATTTCTAGGCGAGCGGCGCTTGGTATACTCTATACTCTCTTCCGCAAGGCAACATGGACTAATCCAAGTCCACGGGAGAAAGAACGAACGCCCTGAATCTCTATACCTCCAGTGAGGTGCCTTGCGTGGTAGTGGCGTCGTAAGTCTTTCCCAACACGGGCTGACATCTCTCCCATCACCATGGGGACTTCGTTGACCTGGTAAATCCGGGCCCCGAGAGGGAGATGGACCAATGCCCGCAGCAAAGGAGAGGGTTGTGTGGGAAGTATGGACATCCCTATTCCTTATTGGCCCCTTGAGGTAGAGATTTCTTAGTTCCGTCTGTCCTTGAACGTCCTGCGGGACATCACAGCTTTCACGGAGGTTACTCAGCCAGAGCGACCACAACCGTTCGATGATGACTCTCACCCTCGAGCCATGGAGCGGCCAGCACTTCGGTTCCCACAGCTCCGCAAAAAGCCTCGTTTCGCTGTTCCCCATGCGTTGTCAGTCTTCTCTCCCTCTTGTCTGGCTGAGTGGTGGAGGAAAGGATTTACAGGAGGGCAGATAGGGCAGACGGCGGTCCTGGGGTGGGGTGTGCAGACTCGCCTCGTTCGATGATCTCAGCTCAGCCTCTGCAGCGCAGGCTCGTCCTCGGGGAATAGGACGTGGACGCCAAGCAAGTATCGATATCTTGCAGGTTGGGCAGTTCCCCCTAACAACGGACCCACCATCAATGGACATATACAGTCGTATAGGTGGCGCCATACCAGCCATCCCCTTCCCGCTGGCTAGGTGGCCATAGTGGTCGACAAGTGTCCGGCTGTGGCTTTCATCATGCTTGGAGTCACCGTCAACCCGAGCCCCTTGGATAGAGACAAAGCTGGGCCGCCGTCGCGTGGCGATGCCGTTGAGGAGGGGACATGTGAGACGTAAATGATTTGAGGTCGTCCTTCGTATCGACTGATCGCACCATGTGCTCTATTAATTTCAGTGGCCAGGTGCGTGCTTCAGAGTGGCAAAGCATGCATATGAAGCATAAGAAATGACGAAAGACGGTGGTTGATTCATGTCGGTAATAGTCATAGCATGGACCGAGAACGTCGACTGTGGCGCGGTGCGTATTTTACAGATCCAGTCGTCTACGGCAATGGTCTCTGACAATGAGGCAAGTCAGGAAAGTGTGGGTGGGAAAACAATTCGAAGGGGTTCATCGGAGAAGCATCAGACGAGTTGAGGTGCCTTGTGCAATGTGCAAGGTCCCAAGCCGAAGTGTCGAGGGCACTGTACTCCGTAGGTCCTGCAGCCTCGTGTTCCCACCTCGGTAGCTGGTGCAGACCCTCTTTTTGGAGCCGAACAGCAAAGCCAAGTGCCAACTGGCACTAACGAGCACGCCTCCCTAGGGCCCCTCTCTGGTAGGTGCCCCGTAGCATGGAGTCTAAAACCCGGCCATCACACGCATGGAACAAACCGCCGACCAGCTGCACGATACGAAAAGCACATATGTGCATGCCCTTGCCCCCTCAGCCCCCTTCCGGGCGGATCAGCAATCAGCTCGGATCTGTCAGATCGGGTCGCGGGTTCAGGTGTGCCATCTCACTGCATCGCGCCAGCGCTGCAGATACCCTCACCCTCACCCTCACCCTCACCCTCGCCCTGTCCCTTGCCCGGGCTCCGCTGCACGGTCCGCTTGGGGGGGCAGCAGGGTATGGGGCTGTAGATGATGGGTAATGGGTGCTCCGGCTGCCTGGGAAGATGTCGGTCTAAGTGTTACGGTTAGAGATGTGCGATATGCTATAGGCGATGTATGATATGCGATTGGGTCCTGCAAGTCACCGTGTTCAGGATCGGCCCCTGCATGGGATAGGCAATAAGCATGGGGCGAATGGAACCCTGAGAGGGCAGAGTAGCGCGCCTTTTCCTGAGCGGGTGGGACCGAAGCAGGATGGGCCATACCTGCGGCCTCGCAGACTAGGGCCCGCACCGAGGATCCGGATGGGGGGAGTACAGTTGCATAGACATAGCTCAGGCCCGCAGCTGATGCCGCAGGGGCCACAGGAGAGGGGTGGAGCCCCAGGAGCGGTTAAGCGGGAAGGGAAGAAACCTGGGGGGGGGGGGGTGTTGCACGTATGGCTGCTTTTGCTTTTGGGACGTTAGGGGCTTAGTCGAGGAAAAGCGTCGAGGACGGTGATTGGCCCAGCCTCCCCTAGTCGACCTGTGCCATACAAACCAGATAGACGAGGGAAACCAGGAAAAGTGGACGCTCCAACTTTCTCCGTGGTTGGTTGGCCCCGTGCAGACGCTTTTGGAGGGTTGTTCCCCTCTGGGCCTGACCG